CCATGTGGGTGCTGGGATTCGAATCTGGGTCTTCTGCAAGAACAACCAGTGTTCTTAACCACTGAACCATCTCTCCATCCCTTAAGATAATTCTTACTCCTTTAGGTTTCACTGATTAGAAAACCAAATTTTACTAATCTTTTCAGCTTTCAATTAGTTAACTCATTAATTAATATTTTATGTCTGTATTTTGCCTGCATGTATGTAAGTGCATCAGTACATGCAATGCCTGCAGAGGCCAGAAAAGGGTGTTGGATCCCCTCGAACTGGTCTTATGGACAGCTGGCAGCTGCCATGTGGGTGCTGGGAACTGAACCTGGGACCTCTGCTAGAGCAGCTAGTGTTCTTAACTGCTGAGCCATCTCTCTGGCCCCATCAACTTTCAGATGATACTGTGTCAATAGGTGAAAATGTGGGCAGTCAGTAAGAGCCACACAACTGTCTGTGTGCAAAGGTAGAGGAGTCTAAAGACGAAATACTGGAATGACGGAAGCAGTGGACACAACTGAAACACAGCAGGGAAGGACGTGATGGGCTCAATGCTTGACATGCTAAAGCTGAGATATGCACAAAAGTTTGGTGGAGTTAGTGCAGCACCAAAGGGAAGATCCAGCACCTCTGACAATACTGACCAGCACGTATTGGTCTAGAATCTGAGGTCAGCACCCTACCTGGGAAACAATATTCTGACAGATGTTTCCAGCCAACAGAGGAGGACTAGGTTGTGAGGCAAGTATTACAGGAACCTGGAACTGCTAAGACAAAGAGGCAAATCAATGAAAATTGAAAGCTGTGTTTTCTCTTGAAGCTATATATTATACTGAGCATTCTTTCTTTCCTCTGACTATCCTTTTGTTCTCTCCTTCCAATGCCAAACAACTTATATTCAATTTTCATTCTGAATATGCACACACTGCAAAACAAACTTCTCAGAACACCAATTTTTTTTTTTTTTTTTTAATTTGGTCTTTTTGAGACAGGGTCTCCCTGTAGCCCCAGCTGGCCTGGAACTCACTGTGTAGACTGGGCTGGCCTTGAACTCACAGAGGTCTGCCTACCTCTGCCTCCCGAGTGCTGGGACTAAAGGCATGCGCCACCACGCCCGGCTCAGAACACCAATTCTACTAGACAGAAAACAAGGGTTCCACAGCCAGCCAAGCAACTGTAAAGAATTCTGTATTCTACACTCCCCTCTTGGAAATCAACAAGGTCTAAGACTCAAATGCACTCTAAAACACTCAGTGTTTTCTAGACTTACCAATACCTCATTAATCCTTACCTCATGTAATGGTATTAGCCATAGTACCCTCTTTGGAAAACACTTGACTGTGGAACAGAGCACTTACATTTTCATTCACCATTACAACCTAGGCTGAAATTGCCTCAGATACAGACAGGCCAGGTATTCTTTTTCCTTTTTCCTGATAAGTGACATCATACCTTCATACTCTGAAGATCAGTCATACCCCTTGGAACCTAGAAAAGGTGAAGAGTGGAGACTGAGTGTATATGTCTTTCATAAAAGAACAGGACTTCCATTTCATAGTACCCCAAACAGGCTTTGGTGGGAGAAGGGGAAGATCAAAATATTAGAGTGGCTTTTCGCCTTCTACCTGCCTCTTCTTCATACTAAAGTGCCAGAGTGAAGCTGGATGTGAGATTGGATAGACTGCAATGCTCACAAACCCAACAGAGCTCTGCTGAGCAGCAGGACCAGAGCTTTGATGAAAGAGGAAACTGTCACCCCTCCTTCACGCTCAAGTAAACCCTATTAGCCGGGACCGTGACAACAGCCATGACAAGACAGTGTCCCTAGTGCTTTCATCTTTCTTCAGATAATAGTTTCTACACTCTTTTATGTACTTCTTGGGAATTGTGATTTTCAGGTTAGGGTTCCGTCTACAGTCCATAATGGTGGGTGGCATGTGGACTTCAAATTCACAGTGGCATCAAAGTGGGGAGAGCAGGACACCCACCTTCAAAACTGTGAAGTTAGAGTAAGAAGCAGCATCCAGGGCTGGATCCGAGGTGCAGCTATCGGCCAGGTTCTTGAAGAAACGGGTGCAGGTTGTCCTTTGGTTTTCTAAGAAACCTTAGAACACAACAAATGAAGACAGCAGTAAATGAGAAAGCCTATTTTTTAAAAAAATTTTATTTATTATTTTAATTTTATGTGTATGCGTGTATTGCTTGCATGAAGGTAAGTGCACCCATGTCCTACAATGTCTACAGAGGTCAGAGGAGGCTGTCGGATCTCCTGGGACTGGAGTTACAGACAGTTGTTAGCTGCCATGTGGGTGCTGGGATTCGAAACCGGATCTTCTGCAAGAACCACCAGTGTTCTTAACCACTGAGCCATCTCTCCAGCCTGAGAAAGCCTATTTTTAAGCAGAGTAAAAAGACTGGTACTTGTGCCCTGGACTTACCTGCAGGATTGCTCTCAACACAAAGTCCTCCAGCTCCTACTCCCACAGGCTGCCTCAGTAGGCTAATTAGAGACCAGTTGGGGTAGTAAGTCAGAATGGGATCCCCAGCCTGAATAAAATATAGGACAAATTTAGTCACAGCAAGATGAGATCAAAATGTATCAGCAAAAAGAAAATAGAAGTAAAGGCTAACTCAATGGCTTACTCACTGTCTTCTCAAGGAGCTGAGAATGATTTATTTCACTGAATGAAGGTACCAGAAAGTTACACTGCCAACTGTTTATTCTATCAGAAAAACCAAACAATTCATCCCTTAGCCCAGGCTCACCCTGTAAAAAGGTAGTGGCGGCTGGGTCTGCGACACTGAAGTGAATGACTGGCCTCCAAACTCTGCAGCCAGGGCCTGGAAGTTGGTTGCATTGACTGTTTGGAGCTTCTGGAAATAGTTTAATTTTGCTAAAATGATTTTTTAAAAGAACAGAGATTCAGATAAAAGAAAAGCATTTCTTTTTAAATATCTGACATGATAAACAACATTTGAAACATAATATACATACAATAACACATGTACATGTGCTATAGTCTAAAGGCAAAGTCTAAGTTGCTAAGTGATATACCTGCATATTAGAGTTTAAGATAGTATTGTTTTGGGTGCTGGTGAGATGGCTCAGCAGGTAAGGGTGCTTGCTACCAAGCTTGACCACCTGAGACTGAGCCCTGGATCCACATAGTGGAAGGAGAGAATCAACTCCCCCAAGTTGTCCTCTGACCTCTACATATATACCATAGTATTCATGCATATTCTCTAAGTCATTTTTAAAAGAGGAAGAATTGCTCCGAAACAGATGGACCACCTTTCACCACTGCCCTGCAATCTTCTAAAAGCTGAAGCTTCCAATGCTGAAGCTTCTAGGAACCGTGTAAATATTTCCTTCAGAAAATACAAAGGAGTATTTACCTCATATCAAATGAGGTTACTGCTACCTTTGTAAATAAAAAAACTGAAGTGAGGAAGAAGATGAACTAAGATAGTAAATACCTATGTTTTCATGGCTTAAATCAGTGAGAGAAAGTTACCATTTTGTCTCTAACTTCAGTGTGGGGATATCAGGGAAGTGGTGACAAACAGAGATAATACAGATAAGAAATACAAGTTAAAACTATACACCAAGGGGGCTGGAGAGGTGGCTCAGCAGGTAAGAACCTTTCTTGCTCCTCTAGAGGACAGGAGTTCAATTCCCAGCTCCCACATCAGGGGGCTCACAACCATATGTAACTCTAGTTCTAGGAGATCCAACACCTTCTTCTGGCCTCTGGGGCACATGTGTTCACATTTGTATGCACATACCCACACATTTTAATAATGTAAAAAGTACATACAGAGTTCTTGTTAAAATGCCTACCATTGCACATGATATACTATATCTAACAGTTTAAAGGTAGTTAGACTCTGATATAATTGTAGACATGAGAAGAAGTCCAGAGACCATCTCATCAGATCCCATTATGAAATTTGTATCTTCAGAGGCAAATGAGTTGCATTTAAAGGCCTCAGAGAAACTAGCAAAAACAGGAATAGATCAACAATCTCTTAATTCCTGGTCTGTAGTTTTCTCACTCTATTGTGCTGTGGAGACCTTGGTTAAGAATATCCTTCCCCATGGTTATCAGGAGGTATTATGCATCATGGGTCAACAAAGATACAGTTCATCTCTCTGAGGGTCTAACAACTTACGCAGAGATTCATGATATTCACATATACCAATAACAATCTGAGGAACCCTAGTTCTAAAGGAATGACTGAAGACAAGTGTCTTAGAACTGAGGATGGGCTCACTTCCAACTCAGGCAAGCAGCAGAAGATTCCTAGGAGAGCTAAGGATCTTAAAACGCATAAGTGAAAGCAGACCACTTTGTGATGGCTAATCCTGGGTGTCAATTTGACTGGATCTGGGATTAACTGAAATGAGAGAGATCTTCTTGATTGGATCCTCTGAAGCTAGAAGACACACCCTAAATGTGGGTGTTACCTTCTGATGGCAGCCCATATAAAAGGCCATGGCAGAGGAGAACGCCTGGCTTTTTGCTGCTTGCCTTCTCTCTCTTGCTGGTAAGTTCGTCTTGCTGCTGTAGACTGAAGACTAGCTGATCTTTTAGAATTTGTCAGACCTTCAGCGCCAGATTGGGACTACTGAGACATCCAGCCTTGTGGACTGAGCGACTAAGATTCTCAGCCTCTCCAGCATGGTGCAGCCATTGTTGGACTACTCACACTCTATCCTGTGAGCTAAGCTGATAAATCTCTCACTATATATATTTATATATATTCATTTTATATATATATTCAATATATATAAATATTCATTCAACTGGTTCTGTTTCTTTAGAGAACCCTAATACACACTTGAATTGAGAAAAGCAAATACAAGCTTAGGAGAAATGCACATTGTGGAGACTAGGATGACACGAATTTGGCCGAAATAGGAGGTCAACGTGGAAAGTGATGGGAAAACATCTGGAAAGAAGAGCTGGCTCAAACATGAGCACTATGACTGGCAGGCCACTGCAGCAAGGCACTATTCCGGAGGCTTCTGAATAAAGAAGGCAACATAATGCAATGTTATGAAATGAATCATCTAGCCAAGTGATTCTCCATAATTGCATGTGCTTGCTATGCATGCATGTATGAGGGAAACAGCAAATGGTCAGGACTGAAGTCCTATCTTTTCCATGTTAAACACGAATCCATTTCCCAGCTTTAAGGAAAGTTCATTGATCTATGATTACTATTGAATATTGCTATATTTCTCAGGTGTTCTTGGAGAAAGAGTTCAGAAACAGTCTAGAAGATGGGGGAAGCATAATTTGAAAGAGAGGAGGGGAGACTAAAACTGCGGAGCAGCAATTGGATACAACAGCCTTAGGATGTGCTCATAAGGCTGGATTTAGGAGGTGAGAGGAGGTTCTGAAAGGAAGGTGCAGTCTCATCTTAAACTATTCATGGACCTCTGTATATACTATAGCTCACTGGCAGAATGCCTGCCTAGCATGGACAAGGTCCCTTGGTCATTCTCTAGTACCACAAAAGTAACGACAGGGGCTGGTGAGATGGCTCAGGTGTAAAGAGCGTATACTGCTCTTACAGAGGCCCAAGGTACTCTTAACTGTGGAGCCATCTCTCCAGCCCAAAACTTCTCATTTTATAGAAGAAATAAGCTTAGAAATAATAAGGGATTTGTCCATCTGTGCATACGGTAAGAAGATGGAAAGACTAAAACCCTAGTCCAATGTTCCTTCCCCTACACTGTTGCCTCATGAAATCAAACAAAAAAGATTGCCTTAGACTCATCAGTCAGAAACATTCAAGCACTCAACATTTTTTGGTGCCTGTGATATATGAGGCACTGGGAATTTAGTGAGTGCTCTGATGGAGATTATAAGCTATCTCTGATTTAGTTAAGCTAAAAGAAATGGTTAAAAACTAGTCACGTTGGGGCTGGGGAGACGGCTCAGTGCATAAAGCGCTTGCCCTACAAGTGTGAGAACTGGGGCTCAGATGCCCCAGCACTCTAGCTTGACTTGCTCAGTAAGAGAGCTCTGGTTCCATGCACATTATAAACACACAAAAACTTTTTTTAATTAAAAAAAATATTCAAATTCTGTATGAGTTATCTGATGCAAAGCCAATAGGGCCTAAGAAATTAGAAACGTCCTCTGATAACAGAAAGAGAGAGGGTGGGGAGGTGGCGGTAGGAGAGGGTGACTGATAGGGATAAAAAAACCAAAAGTTCAGGGGCTGGAGGGATGCTTAAGAGCACTAGCTGCTCTGGAAGAGGACTCAGGCTTGATTCCCAGCAGCCACAATGTGGTTAATAACCATTGGTAACTCAAGTTCCAGGGGCTCTGACACCCTCTTTTGACCTCTGCAGACACTGCATAACACAGGTACACTCACATACATGCAGTCAATATACTCATACACATAAAATGAAAATAAATAAAATATTAAAAAACCCAGAAGTTTAAAGAATAGATCAGGGAAGTCCAAAGACAAAGCTGCATCTCAATAAATGTTAAGTGACTAGAACAGCTAAACATGTTTCTACTCACAGTTGTTCACATGGACACAAAACTGTGTAATCCCATTAGAATCCGTGAAAACCCTTGAAGGAAATGGGGAGTTGCTCCTAAAGATAAGGGAGTTGTCGACACATACCCAGCTTGAAGATCTGTGAGGAAAGATGAGGATACTCAGGAGGGTGGGGGTAGGCTAGACAGGGGGGCCCCACACATGTCTGATGCCAAAGAGAGGCTCCTTGGGCAGTTGCAATGCAACACCCAAGTCCTGTTTTACTGGACAGCTCACCTGTAGAAAATCAGGAAGGAAGATTATCCATAGGAAAAAACAAGGGAGCAGCTTAGGGACGGAAGTAGGGGCTGGAGTCCCGGAGGATAACTCAGTTCTAGGCCCTATCTCCTTTAAGTGCACCGCAGCTCACCTTACACTCCCCGGAAGGCAGAAGGAGAAAACTGTTCTGGGGTGGAGAAGATCGCAGTCCTTGTCGCAGCAGCAGTTTAAATCGCAGGTACCAGGAGTCAAGTCACAGACGCAGATGGGCAAGGCTGAAAGTCAGATGAGTCAGGTGAGGATCCCCAAACGTCTCCAAGCACGCACAGCCCCACTCCTGGCTTTGTTGGTCAGTCTACTTCGTTCACATTATTTGAGATCCGAGAAGTCAGTAGTTTCCACCCCATATCCCAGCCCCTCACCTGGGAATGGGTCCGTGGTCTTATTCCCCGGCGCGGAGGGGGTTCCAGGACGGCCCGGCAGAGCTGCAGTTCCCACGGAGGAGGGCTGCGTCCCCCCATCCGGCGGCAGTGGCTCCAGGACCGAAGAGGTGGGCAGAGCCCCAGTAGGGGAGGAGGACGCCTGAGGCCGCGCGGCCTCGAACAGCATCAGGACCACCGCACTCAGCAGGCGGAGCTGCTGGGGAAACATGGAGCAGCCGGAGGATCCCACCCAGGGGTCTCCAGACGCACTACTGGGGCGGGAGTGGGAGGAGCGTCGGTCGTCATCTGTTTCTTTCTGCACATTGGCTCAGGGCAGCTGCTGAGTGCTCTTCAGCCAATAGGGAGCTGTGTTGTTACTGCCCTTCCGCAGCCTCCGCTGCGCCCGCCTCCTTAGTCTGGCAGGCTGCTCCCGTCGCCTGGCAACCGCGTGTGGCAAAGGAGTCTTTGCCCCTTGAGTCCGCTGGATGGCGGTAGCAATGCGGCGGGCGGAGAGCAGCTGGGCAGTCTTAGCAGACCGGCAGGTGGGGAGCGAGCGCTCCTTCGCGGGAGGGAAGCCCCAGAGGCCGGAACTTGAATTACACGCCTTTTTTAGCCGCGATTCCCACGGTAGGAGACCCATTCAGTTGGAAGGTAATAATGATCTCAAGAAGAATGCTCTGAAGGTCACATACTTGAAAAAAAAAAACACCTGTTTTCCTGCGGGTGGGGGCTACAAGAGGGGTGCAGATAGAGGAGGTCTAAATATGATCCAAATATATTGTATGAAATATGCAAAAATGTAATAAAATAATAAAAACCTGGGGGTGTGGAGTTACAGCATCATGCTTGTTATCCCAGCACTCGGGAGACTGAGGGAGGATCACGAGTTCCAGGCCAGCCTAGACTATGGAGTGAGACTCTGGCCCCCAAAAAACAAATACAGAAAACTAACTTCTCTAAATATATTGGTTTTTATGTGTTAACTTTTTAAAAATATTTTTATTGAATTTTTATTTCATACACAACATCTTAGTCTTTATATCCCCTCTTTCCTCACTGACACCTTCAATAGGCCCCTCCCCCATGCATTTTGTCATACATGTTAAGGCAAGTTAGTGTACTCAGATTCCCTCAGTGCAAGTTCATTCACTGGGGTCTAGTCACTCCCTTAAAGATCAGCCCTTCCTCACTTAGTGATCAGCTGCCCAACAGAACGGGGCAACAGGCCCCAGTCTTAGCTAAATATAGTATTTTGAAAAAATACACTAGAAACAACGTTCATTAAGTTCCTTAGATTTTTTTTTTTTCTCAGACATTGGAAATTCACCCTGAATTTTCAATCCTGCCTTCATCTCCCAAGTGCTGGGATTACAGTATATGCCACCATTACACCCTAGGGATCAAACCCAAGGCTTCACACATGCTAGGCAAATACTCTACCAACTTAAAGTTTAATACAGAGATTTTTTTCATAACTTAACTGACTGAACCAGATTCAAAGAAGTATCAAGTGCTATGCATTGAAACTTGTTTTTTAAATGTTAATCAGCACTATGTATATTAATGTAAAACAATGTTAATTTACTCAAATTTTCAGTTTGTACTGTCAGGTATGTCTGAAGAAGCCAATTTTTGTGTATTTGTTACAGTTTAAGGTTATTTATATTTGATGTTTTGTAAAGCTCAAACAACAAATATACTGTACTTATGGACCAAATAGATGACATCTGCATTCTTGTTAAAAAAACAAGAACAAAACTTCAATAAGTGCATTATGTTATTAAAGGTGAGCTACATATTTGTTGCTGGAAAAAGCAGTGAGAGAAGAGAGATTCAGTATAAGAAAATTGGGTGGAGGATGGTTGGGGAGATCTCTCAGTCCCTTGCTGCCAAGCCGATGACCTGAGTTCCATCCTCCAGACTTACATGGTGGAAGGAGTGAACTAACTTCCAAAAGTTGTTCTCTGACTTCCACATACATGCCATAGATTGCATGCATGTGTGTGCACATGACCAAACACACATATATATATACACACACAATAAATAAAATGTAATAAAAATTTAAAAAGAAAATAGGGTGGGGAAGAATGGGAGGAGATCGGGAAAGTTAAATTTGAGAAAGATACAGAAATGGAAATAGCCAAAGGACGGAAGAGAAAATGTATTTATTTTTTGCCATTATAAATGCAAGCTTTTGTAACATTGTTTAGAAAGCTTGTGCTTTTTCTGGGGAGTGGCCTGCCTCTCCTCACTCTCTAGAACAGTGCTACCTGATGAAATTTTCTGGTAGATGGAAGAATTCTGTATTTGCACTGATGTAGCCACAGGCACCTGTGACTGTTGCGCTCATGACAGGTGCCTAGTGTGCTTGAGGAGTTGAATACTTACCTTTTAAATTGTAATTAATTCCAAGTTAAATAGCCGTAGGTGACTAGTAGTATTGAGTAGTCAGATTCTACATGGTTCAAATTTTCCTGCTAGTCAAGTGTCTCCCTGTCTCTACAATTCTGACATCTGGATTACTTCACTTGTTTGGTGTGGGGACTAAATTAAGGTCTGTCAAGAGTTATCTAAACTCTAGTACGCTTCCTTAAAATCTGCTTCTAATACTTGCCTTTTCAAGTGAATTGCTTAGGCAGATAGAACGAATACCTGAACTTGTTCATATTGTCTGAGAAGATTATGATTTTTCTAATGCCTTGAAATTAGTAGTTAAATGTATATCTGAATTATAAATATTCTCATTTTTATGTGATTGGGCTATGAAGTATGAAATATATATATATATATATATAGTGTTTGGTCTTAAAACACATGTATTTGCTGTATGTAATTTCCATACTTTTTTCCTTTAAGATTTATTTAAATTTTTTATTTGTGGGGCTGGAGAGATGGCTTAACGGTTAAGAGCACTGACTGCTCTTGCAGAGGGCCCAGGTTCTATTCCCAGCACCTACATGGCGGCTATGAACCATTCTTAATCCGAAGCCCTCTTCTGACCTCTGTGGCATTGCACGACACAGGTGCACCAACATACATGCAGACAATACTCATACACATAAAATAAAATAAATTTTTTATTTGTGTGTGTGTGTGTGTGTGTGTGTGTGCGTGTGTATATATGACACACGTGTACAGTGCCTGTGGAGGCCAGAAGAGAGCATCAGAGTTCCTGGAGTTGGAGTTACAGGTGGCTATAAGCCACTATGTGGGTACTGGGAAGTAAATGGAAGAGTAGCAAACATTCTTAACCTCTGAACCATCTCTTCAGCCCTCTTTCCATAGATTTTCAAGGACCGAATTATTTAAATTATATATGCTTACTAGAATATAAGCTCTATAACACAGGAGGTTTTGTCTGATTTGTTTACAGATGTGTCCTCTTTTGTGCCAGCTGTGCATGGAGCATTTAAAAACATATCAAAGATTGCTTTACTGTTCTTTTTTCCTTTCTTTTTTTTTTCTTTTTAAAAGATTGGTTTGTTGGATTTTCTAAATTTAACTTTTAGGAATTTATTTATTTCTGATGACATCTATTTTAAAATTTTCTGTTTTATTTCTGTTCAGAGACTGTTTTAGATTTCAAAGTTTAGAATTTATATTTCTACTTTGAAGTTGTTCTTGAATTACTGTTGGCAAACTCATCTGCTGACTCAGGTCATTTCAGGGTCAACTGATAAGGAGACAGTATTTCAGAAGCATCTGAGTTTTTTTTTTCTCTTATTTTCAAAATTTAGCACTTTAAAGGGCTGGAGTTCAACTCAGTGGTAGAATACTTGCCTATCATGCTGAAGGCCCTGGGTTCTGTCCCCAGTACTGCAGGTTGTAGTGGTAGGGGGCAGGAAGATGCATCTATGTATCCATCCAACTTTCCTCTAATTTTTAGAGATTTGGGAAAGAGGAAAGAAGAGAAAGCTTGACTTGTCCTCAGTCTTCCATCTTGATCCAATCTGAAGGCTGAGTTTTCAATCACATATGGAACCTTTTTAATCCAAACACAGACAGCTGCTGCAATCATATGGTCTAATTTGGAAATCTCTGCTTCGAAGGTGACATCATATTAACCTCTCTTAAGACTTGGCTCCATCTTGAAGCTGGCATCTGCATGGCACATATGAATGCATTTCATTCTCTTTCCTTGACATTACTTTAGATTTTAGTATAAGATTTCTAAAGAATCGAGACGTCTGTATTACAGATTCCTCCAAGCACATAATAGCAATAATTTAGACAAAACTTTGTTCAACTGTAGCAACTGGGAGCAAACATTCTTTCCCACTATCCCACTATCCTCCCTCTATCACAAATCTCTAGAAATTACAGACACATTAGGTGGCTTTACAGACTCATGCAGAAATGCACACACCTTGAAAAACATGGAAGGGTGTTCTCAGTGGTCCAGGCTTCTAAAAAAATATATAAAAATAAAAGTTCTATAGCCAGGCATGGTGGTACACACCTTTAGTCTCAGCACTTGAGAGGCAGAGACAGGTGGATCTCTGTGAGTTCAAGGCCAGCCTGGTCTACAAAGTGAGTTCCAGGCCAGCTGGTGCTACAGGGAGACCCTGTCTCAAGAAGATTAAAAAAAAAAGCATTATGTTCTTGAGAACAGCTAAGAACTATAATAATACCAACAGAAGTTATTATTACTTAGTTTTTGATATAAAGATTTTATGTTAAGACCAGCTTAAGGGATTTGCCACTAACAGTGTACTTGGGTAGGAACCTCCCATCACAATTGTCTACCCCTCAGACCACTTAGTTTATTGGTTATTTTCCTTATTTGAGTTAGTAATACATTCCCAAATAAATATTATAAAATTTATCAACCTTAATGATATGTATTTTGTTATTTAAAAATTAAATTAATTTGAAATAAAAATGTTGTTTTAGAATAACAAAATCAGTATCAGTTATGTTAAAGAGAAAGTGCTTTATTATTCTTATTTTGGCCTGTAGTTATCATAATGGTGATAACTAATTTTGAAACAAAACAGAATAAAATATGTTCTTCCATATCTCAAGCTTTGACAGCCACTGTTTCCTTTTGGAGGCAGATTGCCTCCATAAAGTTATCTATTACCAAGTGTACTGCCAATTTACAGGTTCATGGGAAGTATCTTTGTTCCTGAGCTTAATAATGAATAGTTTAAAATGCCTTACTTTATGGCCTCTTATTTATTATACCAAATAGACCCCATCTTGAAGCTAGTTAAGTTTACAATCTCTTTTTTTAAAAAAAATTATATATTATTTTTATTTTATGTGTATGTGTGTAT